GTTTGAGGCGTCGTGTAACAGCAGGTACTACACTGACACATTCGTCACTGTCAGTGCCCGTGTTGTCAGCGCATATGCCATCCTTCTTTTTACAGGCCAAAGCCAACAGGCTCATAGCCTCCTGTATTAGTAATGCCTTGTTGGCACAGCAAAACATGCAAAGCCAATGTGAGTTAGGCTTCGAGCATCTTTTGTATGCGGTGGGACTTAAGCGGGTGCACATTTTGTGGAACCACTTATGGCATTCGCCACACTGCATCCCCTCTTCCACAGGGAACAAACAGTTTGTTTGCCCACATTTGTGAGTCTTACCAACTATTGTAATTCGATTTAAAAGGTTTAAAAACAAAAAATGGTAACAATGTGAATACAAGTGTTAGTCAAGGACTAAAAACAGGTACCCAGGACAAAATGTAGCAAAAATTTCAAACTTTAACCAAAGAACTCTTAGTTAAAGTAGACCAAGAATGCTTTTTAGTGCAATAAGTACCAAAAGCAAGTATAATCACAACAAGTACAAAAATCACTGCCCTTTTTGAAATTAGCAGCTTTTGATCTAACATTGACAATTACGCTCCGTACGTTTTGATAGTAGTTTTGTTGGCCTCTAGGAGTAAAACCGTGCTGCGTGGAATGCTTTTTTGATGTGATAAAATCGGTGAAACTATGCTAATTTCTTACTGTGTTACCTACTAAAATTGTGACGTTCAGGAAACGGCTTAGTTAGTTGGCAAGTAGCATTTGCCACCAATATCATTTTTCTGGAAAGTTTTCTTTGGCATTTTTGTTGTTTAATTTAAATTTGCAAACATCGTTAAACTCTAAGTTCTGGTGCCATACACACAACGATACCGACAGACTTCTGAGGTTGGCTAAGGTTACCCGGAGTGCGCTCTGAGAAATGGACTCTTTTCACAAGATAATTTAGGGCGTCTTAAATGAACGGTTGATAACATTGCCTATAATATCGCGAGTTTATTAAGTAAATACAGCCACTAAAACTGAAGTCCTTCTCTTCCTGTCGATAGTCTGTCACATATTTAAATTGTAAAATTTCGAGTACTTTTCAGTCTTTATCTATATACCCATCCAGATCAAAAGTAATTGAACATTCTGACATGCTGGAGATCTGCCGTACTTTATACGGCAACCGTTGCAGCTACGTTTGTTTCAGGTTTTCCTTATCCAAAGTATATGGCCGAACTAACTGTTTCATATATCGAAAAATATGCGGTGGTTTTCTGTTTTTCATATTTCACTTAGTTCTTAGTCGTTACTGTTTCTTCACATTACAAATTGTTGGATAACTTTTATCATGTATAAGTAGAGGGTATATTACTGTGATTGGTAAACGCAGAGGAAAATTATACTAGATATCAGTTAATATGGTAGCTGATTAAGCAAGAAGTGTGTGGATAACAATGTATTTGTGAGCAATATTCAACGTGTCATTCAAGTAAAGGACGAATAGATAACGGAAAAGTCAAAGACAAATCCAAACAACGAAGTTACGGTCAATAACAGCGATTGCACAAACTAAGTGAGAATACGAATATTGTGAATTATGACAGTAGTTATAGATTAAATACGTCTATTATATCTTCACAAAGTAAATTAACTGACGTTTACAATGGCAATAAACTTGCGCTCAGCAACTGAGTTCTAAAATGTGTCAAAGCATTTATTGTAAGGGTGTAGTAATGATACGTGGTTGTGAATCTGAGATTTGACTAGCCAGCAAAAGACGATAAACAAACATCCAGCCTTTCTAAAGCTATGAGTATGATAATCGAAAGTATGCAAACTGACTTTTCAACGAAGAATTTCCGAAATGGTGCAATTTAGGACAGGTGGAACTAGATTAGTACAACTGGACGTATTATATTTGAAATTCATAACAAGCGCGCCATCAAGTACAAACGAGTTATCAGTTAGTAGTAATATCAAAATAAGACGAAATCTAGCATTGTGAATTCCTATCTACTATCTGCTTGTGCTTTGCGTTTCACTTTATGGGAACTGAAAGTATTTATGTGAAAAGGACTACTATCTGGCTTATAATCTGATTCTCAACCACTGTTCTTGAATTATGTATCCTTAAATAACCTGATTTAGTAATCTCGTATCTAGTTTGCAGATCAAGTATGCAGCCCGGTAGCGTATAACCTAATTTATCGTATTTCGTATGGAGGACAATTCATTTCTTAAACTCTAATTATATTAAGGATGTGGTATAACGTACACTATTAGACCACCACGGATTTTTATCGTTTAAAGTTATGTAGACTTAAATATTTATCATAAGATAGCTTACTGCTCATTCCATATCAACACTATCTAAAGCAGACATCTGATAATCCTTTAATATACATTATTGTTTGAAGCGACTGCAAACAAAAAGCCTTTTAGTGGCTCTATATATTACTCCAATAATATACATATCGTCAATCCTCGTATATAATTATCGATTTAACTCGAGTTAGTGAATAACGGGATTAAAAAACTCAATGCGAGAATGGATTTCCAGTACGTATATTTTGTACAATCATTGATCCAGACAAACTATCAGAGAAACGAAGTGAAGGAAGAGAAAAGAAGAGAGCGAAGCGAAATGACGCGTAGTGGAGAAAGTATGTAAGCCAACTCCATTTAATCAAGCGTGACTCAATATTTATAATCAGACAAAAATAAGTCACAGACATGTGATGGGTAAGATAAGAAATGCATATACAAACGCTTACATAAAAGCAGTCAAGGTTGATAAGCGAATAAGTGACAGAGTAATAATGTGGCTTGAGCAGAATGGATAAGTTGGTTTGTCCAGAAGCTAGAATGTGCTATGTGGGCTCGACATAAGACCATTCACTACAACCTCTGGAAATGTTTTATTATTATTTTTCTTATATTCGAATTTTTATAATTACAAGTATGAGTAACTTATAGTTTTGAAGCATAGGTTGGACGACTGACGTTAACAAATGTGTTACACGTAATGTTTCACTTTTTCCTTAAGTTACATTGCTGTTTAAACAGATACCATCATTTTATTCGCATAACCCCTGGTTTGTTGTTACATTTTCAAACACCAAAACTAATCTACTTGAAAATTCAGTATTCATTTTTTCAGCTTATTGAAAAGAATGTTCTTGAGAGTGTCAATGGATATATTGATGACATTTTTTAAAAACAATGAATTCTGTTATCTACCGAATATTGATTCAATTAAAAACGATACTCATTTAATTTTTTCTTTCCTGAGGTATACTTTAAAAATGTTTAATTTTTATAAATTTACGTTCTGTAAATTCAGAGTTAATGAAGCTTGTTCTATAGATGTTGGCATGGATAAACATTTAAGTGTTCCGTTAATTGAAAGTATTCGTTTCGAATCACAATTTGTAAGCCTCTGTCTTCGCCCATTTGACACCTTATAATCTTGATCATTTATTAGATTGTCATATATTATATCCGAAATTTCGAACGCCTTTTGCTGGTAAACTAAACCACTCTTCATAATGAACTTCAATTCAATATATTATATTCACCCAACGTTATTATTATTATTACGTCTGTTAACAAGAAAAATTGTCCTACTATGCATTTTATTAACATTATTTGTTACCTTACTATTACATTAATTATAACTTGACGTTTTTAATTTACAAATAACACAATTTCGAAGTAATTATGCCGTGACAGATGCAAAAGTTCATCGTTTTGAACAAATAACATTGTCAAATTCATTAATTAATATATTATTTTGGTCTTTGTAAAATATCACAATAATTATGTACTTATAACTGTAGAGCCTGATGTTGAAATTATTGAAAGCAATTGTTCGCTCAAATGCTCATTGCTTTTTAGTATATATAATCTCATGATTTGCTTGGAAAAATATTGTTCTATACAATGCTGATCAAAGCTAAAAAATCGTTTTTTTTTATAGACCAGTTATGTTGATTGCAAGTACTGACAGTTATTTTGCATATCATCAGGCTCATACTTTGAGTTATGAAGTAGGGTGCCTTCAGGTGTACTCGCTGCTTTCTTACTGACTTCAATACTGGTTCATTCGTGACTACAACCTTGGGAATCGCTATTCAGTGTGTCAAATTTTGCTACATTTATTTATCACACTAACCTTATCATTTTGGAACTGTAAACGGAAATTTAAGCGTACTTCTATTTCTTATTATTTCTAATGACTTATTTGTGATCATATAAAATTGTAAATTTTCTCTTTATTTATATCCTTTTAATGTGAGTTCATACTCTTTACGCTAACCTTTATTCGTAACTACTGCAGTACAACTGAATAGATGTAAGATTTTCGTTGATTTAATATGTAAAGTGAAATTACTTATTTCAAATGACATCAAAAAAGAACCTGGTATTGGGCCATCGGATTTTTATTCAATTACAAGGTGTCTTAGGATTTTATAATTTAACTTCGAATTTGGGATATGGTCAGAACGGATGCTTAAACATGACAAAATTGTATTATACTATATTACATTCATCGTCAAATAAGCACACAACTTGTTGGAAGAATTCGCTATTCTGGAAAACCTTATTTTATTACCTTACGATAAACTTGAAGTACTATTAAGAAGTCGTGTGAAATCCAATAATTTCAAATGGACAAAAGGAGCTCAGTTCCACAAGATGCTTTCACAAACATTAGAAAACCATGGATTTCACGGTCGACGTCCAAAAGTAAGCTATGAAATGTGGTTTTGGTGATAAGATTCATGTTAATTTGCCTGACAGATTTATTACTGGAATTACTAATCACAGTCTGGTATGACAATTTACAAAACTCCAAAAATGTTCATTCCATAAAATGAGAGATTCTAACAATTGTGAGGCAGTGAATAGACATTAATTGGCGTCCGCGAAAATTTTTTATACAGTCCTGAAACAATGATCAATTACGCTTCTTAGGTTTCAGATTCGTAGTCTAGTAGTTAAGAATGGGCTTGCAGTGAAAACTGGATTTTGAAATGTACATGTAGTAATATATTGTATTGAAATGCATCAATAAAGCGCGTAAATATGTACGAAACAATTACAATTATATAGAAGAACACTCTAGTTTCATAGCCACTATTTTTAGCATTAAAGGAATAAGCTTATTAAAAATTACATTTATGTACTTGGAATTTGAATGGGAAAATAATTATAGTGGTATTGTAAAAATTATTGTTCATACACCATTTAAGTTTTTGGAATTTGTTGAGTGATTTCTCCAAGAACACATATGACTACATCAGATTCCTTTCTAGTTACATTACTGGGATGACAATATTTAATGTTCGAAAATTGCATAGTAGCTTCGTAAAAGTGGTTGTTTCCCAGATTATGAGAATGATGATCGTGGCTACAATTATAAACCTAAAACATAACAGTTCGAGATTGCTTTACAAAATCTTTCATCCAGATACTCTTGATCCACAATATAAAACCAGGATTCAAATATGAAAATTTACAAGACAGAGTACTTTGAACAACCAGGAAATTTGGAAATGATAGTCGGGTACGCAAGGCAGTTTATTAGTCAAAACAATCAGAAAATCACCCAACAGCCAAACACACAAGACGTATTTTCTTCAAGAGTTTGTACAAAATGTTCGAATGTGCATAACTAAAAGCTTCCACAGGTTCCATATGAGATAAGTCTCAAACTGAACTATGAATCAACTATCAGATTTACTTTAGTTGTTGAGCATTATACTAAACTTTTGTTATGTTTCGTTATTGCTTGAATGCGATTACTGATGCGTCTTACTCGAACGAACGAAGGATCAATGATTCAGCGACTCGATAGACTATTCTGGTCCGTTGTCCCCAACTCTGCTAACTCGATCAAGAAGTCTGGGTAAGGTGTAGAAAGTGTATTCTACAGACAAACAGCAGATAACAAGTCAGGCAGGCAGATCAGATCAAGCATACAAGTCAAGCGTATTTATACAATTATTTACAATCGATAGAAATTTTTAAACATTAATCAATGAGTTCATTAATTGACCTATTTGCGCATGTAATCGATAGTTCATCAATTGATTGCTATTCAAACATTTAATCGATTAGTTCACCAATTGACCCCAATAAAAATATCTAACATTTAATCAATAAGATGATCGATAAGATAAATTTTAAAATATGAGTTTGGGGATCTATCGTCCCCAACACTCCTCCCCTTTTTAATAGCGGGCTTTCCTGGGGTCAACCTGCATCCTGATTGTTGCTCGCCGTTCTCGGATAGGCCACCGTCTTGGACGTGTTTCAGTTTGTTGTTGAGGTTTTTCTTGTGGTGGGGTTGCCGGTAAGTTGAATGTGTCTAGCAGAATGTCAAGAGGAATATTTGATTCTGTTGATGGGCGGTCTGGGGCTAACCGTTTGCGTAACTGATTCCGATGGCGTTGCCACCTGTCACTACCTACCTCAACTTCGTACATGACTCGGCCAACTCTTTTGACCACTCGCGCTTCTGTCCATGGACTATGGGTCGGTCTGTAATCACGGGCAAACACCGGACATCCCACTTCGTACGTGGATTGCTTTTCAAACTTTGTCCGTACTGGTGTCGGTGCATTCCTTGGATGCATCAGGCTGTGGATTGTCTTGAGTCTTCTTCCCATTAGGATCTCGGCTGGGGACTTTCGCTCCGGCAACGTTTCATTTGGTGTTGTTCGATACACGTATAAGAAATTTTGCAACGCGTCTGCTGGCGTCCCCTCCCCCTTTGTTTTAGCCAAGGCTCTCTTAAACGTATCCACAAACCTTTCTGCTTGCCCATTCGACTGCGGGTGGTATGGTGGCGAGCGTAAGTGCTTTATGGCTAGTCGTTGACAGAATGACTGAAATTGGCTGGAGGTGAACTGTGACCCGTTGTCAGACACAATAGCATCTGGTATACCATTTCGAGAGAAAATTTCTGTGAGGATCTGTATTGTTTTAGTTGTCGTTGGCGGTATGATAGGGTTGATTTCAGGCCATTTCGAAAAGGCGTCGACAACAACTAGATAGGTGATTCCGTTAATTGGGCCTGCGAAATCGACATGTATCCTGGACCAGGGATACTCAGGCTGTGGCCATGGGACTGGTAGTATTTTCGCGTTACACTTAGCTGCTTGCTGACATTGTGTGCACTTGCTTACTAAATCCACGATATGTTGGTCCATGAGGGGCCAATAAGCATAGCTTCTGGCGATGGATTTCATTCGTTTTATACCAGGATGACCAGTGTGGAATTGCTTTAGCACCTTTGATCTTAGGGATTCTGGTACCACTACTCTATCTCCAAACATCAAGCATTCGTTTACGACGCATAATGAGTCCCGACGATGGTAAAGCTGTTTCAAGTCACCATCGAGTCCAGTCGGCGGCCAGCCATTTGTGACGTATTTCATCGCTCTCTTTATGATGGAGTCGTTCTTGGATGCAGATTGTATTTCAGTTGCTGAGACTGGCAAAGCACGAATAGCAGTTGTCAGGTAGCACTGCGCGTAGTCCTCTGTCATCAGGGAGGCGATAACTGTATCTTCGCCGGCCGTATGGTGTTCGCTGATAAGTCGCGACAAGGCGTCAGCCTGACCAAACTGTTGAGTGCGCCGATACTGAATGTCAAAATCATAACCCAGAAGTATCAAAGCCCATCGTTGGAGACGGTTTGCAGAATGGGCTGGAACACCAGATTTCGAACCGAAAATTGTGAGAAGAGGCTTGTGATCAGTGAGAAGAGTAAATCTTCGACCGTACAAGAATTTGTGGAAACGGCGTACTGCAAACACAAGAGCCAGAGCCTCTTTTTCTATTTGACTGTACTTCCTTTCTGCTGGGGTTAGTGTACGGGCTGCATGCATAATGGCTTTTTCCGACGCATCCGGAAACTGATGGGAGATAACAGCGCCTAGGCCATGCGCTGAAGCGTCTGCAGCTACGATGATCGGCAAGGCTGGATCGTAGTGTGTCAACAGCAATTCCGAACTAATAATGGACTTCAGTTTACAAAAGGCAGCGTCACATTGTTTAGTCCAGTTCCAAGAGCTGTTCTTCTGCAGTAAGCTATTGAGTGGAGCGCGAATATCATGCATCGATGGAACGAACGCTGAGTAATAGCTGCCAAGTCCCAGGAAGGAACGTAGTGATGAGACATTAGTAGGAGTTGGCATCAGTTTGATAGCTCGGATATTCTCAGGATCCGGCCTGCGGCCATCGGCATCGAAAATGAACCCCAAGTACTTTACCGACGGCAAATGAAACTGGCATTTCTCTGGGCGTAACCGGAACCCGTTGTCACTGATGCGTTGCAGTACCAATGTCGTGCGTTCTCGTAGTTGTTCTAATGTCGTTGCTACAATTAAAATGTCGTCCAAATAAGCCGCGACTCCCGGGATACCTGATAGGATGGTATCCATTAGCTGTTGGAAAATAGATGGTGCAGTTTTGACTCCGAAAGGTAGACGGTTATACTGGAATAAACCACGATGAGTATTGATAGTTAACAGCTCTCTTGATGCTTCGTCTACTTCCACTTGCAAATAAGCATCAGCTAGATCCAGCTTAGCGAAAAATCTTCCCCCATTCAGCATGGTAAATAGGTCTGCGGGAACAGGCAAGGGATAATGATGTTGTTCCAGAGCTGCATTGAGACCTGTTGAAAAGTCAGCACATATACGTATCGTGCCGTTGGCCTTCTTAATAACCACGATAGGTGCTGCCCATGCAGAGTAGGAAACGGGAGTGATAACTCCTTGTTGTTGAAGGCGGTTCAATTCTTCATCTACTGTTTGTAATGTTGCATAAGGGACAGGTCTCTTTGGGCGAAAAACAGGCTTAGCCCCAGTTTTCAATCGAAGTGTTGCTTTCATGACAGAGCAGCGACCCAATCCAGGTTGGAAAATAGTTGAAAACTGCGTCATTAGTTCTTTCGAATATGCTTCAGGTTCATGAGGTTGTTTCACCAGATGGCATACGGTGCTTAAAGGAACGTCAGCTAAATGTAGCTGGTCAAACCAGTCTAACCCAAGTAGATTAAGATCAGCTGGTGTGATGTAACATACACCGGTAAACGTTGAATCGTGAAAAGACACTTTACAATCTAGTTGTCCCAACAAACGTAGGTAATTACCGCATGCAGTTCGAGGTTTTTGTGTTGTTGGAACCATGCGTGGTCTTCCCATTCTGATCCAATATTTTCGTGAGAGAATTGTTACATCAGATGCAGTGTCTATTTGCAATCTAAATGAATGCCCATTAATGTTAACAGTAATAAATTTTCTCTGACACGGTGATGAGCTTTGACACGAAGATACTAAGCTCAATGAACTGGTGCGGGATCTAGGACAGGTCTTTTTGGTATTTCTTGATTGACTTGGAGTCTTCTTCGTCAGACAAAACCCATCCTTATGGCCAATAACCTTACACTTCTTGCATCGATGTTGATTAAATGGGCAGTTTCGAACTTAGTGCCATGCACCACATTGCCAACAAGGAGCAGGAGGAGTTGCTTTAGTCTGTCGTCTAGAGCTGGAGTGAGATGGACTGGATGAAGCGGGGACGTGTTTGTTTTTGTGAGGTGTCTGTTGCACCGCTCGTACTTCAAATCGGCTAGAACCACCACTCTGGACCATAGAAGTGTCTCGTTGAAGATTAATGAGACGTTGATATTCATTAGCTATATCACTCAGGGTGAGTTTCGGTTCTTGATCCAAACGACTTAGTAGCCTTGTTCGTAAGTCACTGAACTTTTGGTGCTGTAGGCTGCAAATAAGGATCAGGGCATTAAACTGATCTTCAGTCAAGGACTTTAACCGGAAGCGTTCGCATTCACGGTTGACGACGCCCACATGCGTAAGAAAATCATCATCTTCGTTCATAGTCAGCTTCAAGCAACGATAACGAGTATTAAACAGTGACGAGTTATCGCCAAAATGTTGGATTAATGTTTGAACTGTGTCTGCAAATGATCGATCACGTGGGTTCAACGGCAAGATCAGATTGCAATACTTGTCCAGCTCATTTGCACCCAGTTTACGAAGTAGCAGCCGCACTTTCCAAGCATCATCTTGATTGGCGAAATCAAATTTAAATAGATCTTCATAACGCCTGAACCACATCTCAAAAGTAACATTAGAATCAGGATCGTAATGAAATTCAGCTATGCTGTTTGCGATGCCATCTACCGATGGTGCCGTGGTTGAGATCGACGTGCTTGGCTGTAAAGGAGGCGTAACCTTGGTCTCCATTAACATTTGCATCAATTTTAGCTGCTGCTCAAGTAACAGTTCAAGTTTGACAGGGTCCATACTTCAAAAACCACCGTCGCCAATTGTTATGGCTCAAGGAGACAGGCGATTATATGACAGTGACTTATCGATCGGATCAAGGGTTCAGAATCTCGATAGTCTATTCTGGTCCGTTGTCCCCAACTCTGCTAACTCGATCAAGAAGTCTGGGTAAGGTGTAGAAAGTGTATTCTACAGACAAACAGCAGATAACAAGTCAGGCAGGCAGATCAGATCAAGCATACAAGTCAAGCGTATTTATACAATTATTTACAATCGATAGAAATTTTTAAACATTAATCAATGAGTTCATTAATTGACCTATTTGCGCATGTAATCGATAGTTCATCAATTGATTGCTATTCAAACATTTAATCGATTAGTTCACCAATTGACCCCAATAAAAATATCTAACATTTAATCAATAAGATGATCGATAAGATAAATTTTAAAATATGAGTTTGGGGATCTATCGTCCCCAACAACTTTCTAACTGAATAATGGTGTGATATAATTTCTACTTGGTTTCACGAAAATGTTTTACTCTACTAATATGCAATTTGGTATTATGTTCGATATGCACATATATCAGATAATGAATTATGATGCTGATTACAATAATACGGATTGTGTGATAATCTTGAGAAATATATAGGCTAAGAGCTATATTATTCACGTTCTAAATTTGTATCAATGAATGGGTATCACATGTGCTTTAAAGTTATGATTAAGTGAAAATTGGTTGTTTAAAAAGATGGTTGTTTTCTCGATTGGTTGAATGAAACCAAAACGCTTTTGATCAATACGACTTAACGTGAAGAAACGTTCGAGATTATTATACTTTACAATTGGTTGTATGTAATATGCGTAAAATAAAAACCTTAATATTCGGTCTAATATTATATTTGTAAAGGATTTTAATGAAAAACATTTAATGATTGTTATGTATCTTTGAAAATATTATTATTATTGTCTTTACCATTGTTATCATCTTGAGGAATTTATTCAGTATCCACCCCTACCTAGTACATTTGACCTAATTCATATTATTCTACATATTACGCAATTTCTGATTATTATTCAGTTATTCTCACTCTCTCTCAGTCCATGTTGATCATCTTTATTCTGATCATTATTTATCTCACAATTTCATTTCGCTTATAAACTGATCCAAGTTAACACTTCATATTAAACAGCCCCAACATTAACAATCTGAATTGATTTTATATAACAAACAACAATTCTCAATTCACATATCACAACTTCCAAATGACGTACTCTGCCTTAAATCTGACCAATTTTATGGATTATTAATTTAGATATGAGATAATTGTAGAATTTGATGAGAAATTCATTGAAAAGAATATTCTTCGTTCATACAATTGTGAAAATATTTCCATTAACAAATATAAGACTGTATATTCTTCTCAAAGTTGTCGATGATCATATTGTCCAAAGTAGTATTTTTAATTTTTACAAATAATCTGTCCAGTCCAATGAACATGAAATACTCAACAACAAAAAATAACTAGAGAGTAAATGATTGTAACCAATTTTGTTTTTTCATTATAGAACATCAAAAGTTAATGGATATTCATCAAGTAACATTGAACAATGAGCATATGAAAACAATATTTTCGATACGTGAGTTCAAGTTCATATCAAGTTAAATTCTAAATAAACAAAATAAAATATCATTAATTTTTTCTTAGTTTTATTAACCTGATTGTTTTTGTTGTTGTTTTTCCAATTCGAATAGAATAAGTATTTGACAAATTATAGAAAAAATGATGAATAGGGTAGGTTAACTAACTCATTGTTACATAGTAATATGATATGTAGTTGTTTGTTTTTTATTAGGTGAGGAATCATTGAAATCTAAAAGTTAGTGGATAGTTAATGTATAGTGTTATGAAATGATGTTTAAATCGCTGTTAACTAGTAAATTATAGAAAAAATAGTTGTAAACAAACCATTTTTTAGATTACTCGTTTTCATCTTTACAATTTCATATAACGCTCAAACCAAGATTAGATTTTGTGTAATGTAATTCAAGGTATTTGAAGGAAATTTGGTTTTTCTTGGTTCCATTAAATGGTACCAAAGAAATGATAAAGTGTTTATCGATGCCCATGTAACTAAAACAAGATCAATTTCAGTTATGCTCATATTCACGTAATTTTTCGACAATCTGATAAGAATCAATAGTTATATTATCAGTTCAGCAAATCAGTTTAGGTCTTCATTTCAAATCTGCTTTCATGCTACATTGTACTGTAACTGTCTACTTTTAAATGTTTAGACATCACCGATAGATAAATTGTGTGAATAATTATTGACTAAGATCTGACACTAAAAGTAACTGAGATCTCTGTACAGCTTAGAAAGTAAAACATTTTGTTATAGAGGCTACAAGTGATCTCTGGCTATTTGAAACAAACTATATAATCCATTCATCCATCAGTATTCATTAGACCTTATTCTAAGATATCAGTAGCAAGCGAAGTAGCTATTACAAAAGAACAAGCAGGAGAAATGATCGAAAAGGGTGTTTTCAACAAGCCCAACGAATAGCTGTATTTAAATTATCGGCGTCATAGTTCGACAAATTAAGGAAATAGGTATACAAAATATTGTCGATCAATCATTATCCGCACAAACAAATTAAAATGCACATTTGTTAAGAATTCAAAAAATGCGTTGAGTAGCACACATAACAAAGCTAGTACAACTTTATTTTAAAATTTAAACGGAGGAATATACCTCACTGATTACCACTGCATTGTCGTAATGTCATATACTTTGTATTCCTATTACCTCATAATTCAAATATAAGCCAGAGTAAGTAAACAAAGTGAGTCAAATCATGTTTTTCATAATGATTTTATTAATACCGATTTTGTTCCCAAAAGTAATTGAATTTTAAACGTAAAATGCAATAAAATAAAATACTAAACTACTTTTTACGCGAAAGATAAAATGATCATAATTGTAAGCTGATGGGTGATATTAATATTAGTGTTCATTCGTTTTTTTTTGTTAAATGATCGAAATGCTTGTTAATTGAAGAAGTTTCAACACCTTAACATATTGTATTTATTCAAATGCATTAAACCATATGTTATAACTTGTTTCCTGAGCGTCCTGTTAATGGATAACGTAACGATACCGCCAATTACAAAGCAGTGAATTATCGATCGGACCAGTGACGCATAAAACCCGTGCGAGTAGTCCAGAGTCATTATTGGTCCTGCTTTCCGCCTAGCCCAGCCAGTTGAGTTCAGAACACCAATTTCAGCCTCTGCGATATGAACCATTTATTTCAAACATACTGGATTTAAATATCAACCAGACAGACCATATCGTACCAATAAAATATGAAACAACATTTGTACAAGAATTAGCGAAATGTGGCTGTGAATGAGGGAGGTAGTAATTAATAGACAGGACATAATCCAGGGATGGTAGATTGTATAATCATAATTCATAGGTCGTAATAAGAGGAACATGAATATGAACAGTTTAGTTATTTAACAATTATACGATAAAAATATACGCATATTATTGGTTCATAAATGGATCCCAAAAGTTACCATTCATTATGCTTATCGGGACCTAACACCATACAAGTTAGATAAATCAACTTTTATGTCTATTTCATAACCAAAGCTAATCTGTAATATTCATCAATTTCTTGAACTACGGAATCTTTAGTATTTTAGTGCATTTAAAAAGTATACTTAAACGAACTATTGATTAGAAATATTATGTTTGATAAAAGAAAAAACAGTCATTTAAGACTACACTCAGTTCACTATTTTATAATATGCCATCAGCTTTTCAATTGATCGATCTTAATAATAATATTCATGTTTAGTCTTAACTTTTTTCATAATAATTTATAATGTTAAACACTGATGAAGGCAGCACATGAGCAGAAACTGAATAATTTCCTATGTGGAAAAGCGAATAGATTCAATTGATGTAAGTGTCTAAAATATTAGTTTCTTACTTAGCTTAATGATAAAAATAAATTTTACATGATCACTAACCAATCATCCTCATATATATATATTTTTTCTTTTTTCAAGCATTGATCATTTCATACAGAAAAAATAACAATTTTACACATATTGTAATCATACATGGGAAATTATCAAACAAAATATGAACTAATTAAAATGGCGCTGTATCACATATTATCTTCCTGTTTGATAATATTTACGAGTCTCACATTGATTATTTTACAGACAATATTTTCGTACTACATTCCTGTAGGATCAGATATGGCTTGGCCTTCAGTTCTAATTCCATTTGGTTATATTCCTGCAAGTCTATTATTTCTGACAGCTGGTGCGACTTTAGCTGCTGGATTAACAAATTCAGAACTTTGGCAAGCAACCGGTGTTGTATGCTGTATACTTCCTTTGATAACCACCATTGCTATAGCCTGCACTACATTACAACAATATACGGATACTTTTCCAAAAAATTCAAGTATTTTGATTATGGGAGTGATTAGTTGTTTGACTTCACTTTTATGTTTTATTCATGCTATTCTAATATGTGTCAGCCAACATTTTTTTCATTCACCATAACCAATTATCAGACAATGAGAATTTCACATATCATTTAATGATTGAGTTTCAAATGTTTTCGTTACCTATGAAATTTTAAAATCAAATTTATGATAAGGCATTAGGTAGAAGTAAGATTTGTTACAGGGACAAAAAATGATAAAGCATCAGTTTTTATAAACAGTAGTTGTACGTAAACATATGCCATTTATATTGATGGTATCACGAGTTGTATAGAAATTACATGAAGGTTTGTCAACACTACGTTGTATCAGTTTAAATTTCACAAAAATCAAAAATATTCATAACTTCCTAAACGTATATCATTTATAAGTTTAATTCCAAATGTTCTCAACCATAACGTCATTAAAATAAATGCTTAGCAGTAGTGAATCATATATCCTAACGATTATGTTGCATTTTCTCGACAGAAGTGGACACTTACCTGGTATTATATTAATTCTAGAACTTTATTGTATGTCTAGGATATAAGGGATTGAAATTCATGAATCTTCATTTTTATTAACAGTTAATTAATTTAAGGATACTTTCTTCAGATATTAAAAATAATACGCAGGATTTTCTGGTTATAGCGTTCGTAATGTATAGCAGTTAACTTTTTAATAAAAGTGTAATCAGTTACTCAGTCAATTAA